AAAAGAAAAAGAAAAGGTTGAAAGACATGCCTGTGGCTCAAGGAGTAGGGCACGGGCCCCATAGACCAGGGGTGGTGGGTTTAAGCCCAGCCCTGGCAAAAAACTGCAAAAAAAAAAAGAAGAAAAGAAAAAAGAAAGCTGCTGCTATAAAGCCTTAAATGACAGGACCCCAACAAACTAGAAACATTCACTGAATAGATTCCTGGGTTCTGTTTTGAGTAGAGGTTCATTATAATCTGCTGATAACAGTGGTTTATTATTTTAAAAAAATAACACAAGATTCAAGGAGTGATCTGAACTCTGTCCATCCTCAACCTAGACTCATACCTCTAATATCATTTCCACTTTTAGATACTTGGCATCACAAAAATTATTCTTCATGCCAATCTTGTTTGAAGTGGACTCTGGATGAAGCAGCTAGGAGAAAAGATGACTTGTGAGGAGAAAGCTAAAGGAAGCAAAAAAGAAGACTTCACCTTCCTTTTTTGCCTCTATTCTTATTTTTAGGCCTTCCCTGTGTACCTGGAAAATATGGTTCAAGTATGAGTTTCTAAGCAGTTGCTCCTGGTTTTCTTCTTGGCTAATGGAGTAGCACCGTGCAGTGGAAAGAGCTTTGTGCTTGGAATTCAAGTCATGACTCTTCTTCTTGGGAGTTATGCACTCTGGAGAAAGTCACTTAACCTTTCTGAGCCTTGGTTTAATCACCTGTGAAACAAAGGGATTGAACTGGAGATAACTACTAATGTCTCTTACTATTGTGGGTTTCTGTTCTGTTGTGAATCAGAATTCCCAAAGTCTGGGTTGATTCATGGGGAGCCTCATACTAAATGTGATTTGGGGGCACCTACAGTATTTCTGTCACCGGCAATGCCTGAACTTCTACCATGAGTGATCCATTCATTTCATTTGGCTTAGCATTTTCTCCTCCTGTTAGTCTTTATTTTGAGAAAGGAGCATGTGAAAGAACTTCACTGTGAATGAATTACTCAGATCAGTTTTTCCCTGGTTCAGAAAGGCAGGAAGTTTTGACATTAAGAGTTTGAA